AGTACGAGATAGGATTAAGGCATATACGCTTTTTCCCTATTAGCGATCGTTAATTGGAGGGCTTAGGGCGCGAACTTCACGAAGAAGGAGCCGAGGAGAAACATAGAGTTTCCCCAGTCCAATCACGCCCGCAATGCATTCTGACCGCGAAGAAGATCGCAACCGCGACTCGCGGATTGCGACTGCGAAGTCAGCCTGCGATCTCCACAATCCCGAAGGCCAGCACGACTGCGATTCAAGATCGCGACATCTCCTATGAAAATCCCGCCCACGATCTTTGCCTATCTAGCCGCGAACTTGTCTGTCCTCTGATTGCCTATGAATAGAAGACCTCTTTCCCTCTTTTAGATGAGCTAATTTTGAGAGAGTAATTTCTTGTTTTAGAGAGAGAAAATAGAGAGAGAGAAACTAAAGGAAGGAGAAGAGGAGAAGAAGGAGAAGAAGCTAGAAGAGAGGATGCATCTTCCTCAACCTCAAGTCTTCGTCAATTTCTTCTATGTATCTTCTTCCCTCCTTATGTAGTAGTCCTCTAAGGTACTAGGGGTTCTAAATCCCGAACCCTAGCTTTAGGGTTTACTATGTATGTATGGATATTTTTCGGATTTGAATGAATGAATGTGTTTATCTAGTTGATTCTATTGCTATTCTCTTGATTGTGTTTGGGTAAGTCGCCCTAATCTTCTCTATTAGCCTACTTTACGCTTCTACGTTGGGTATGAAGTTCTAAGGTTAGACGGGTATGACATCTTCTTGATGGTAGATGAATAAAGAGGCATCCAATTTTGATTTGATAGAGCCATCTTCTCAAGAAATCCAGACATAGCCATGTACCAGGAGCGGGGAGCTTGAGGAAGCGCGTAAATAGCACGAGAAACCAGCATACATACTCAGAATGATCGGGGTCACGGAAGCCAAGAGGCTAGGCCAGATTTAGTGTCTCCTGCAAAGAGCCTTGTAGAAACGCATTATTGACATCAAAATGTAAGTGCTAACTGTGGAAAAAACAGGTGGATGGGTTGTGCCTGACTTCTATGATGAAAATGATTGTTACTACAATCCACACCTCTTCAAACACTGTTCGAATGAGGGTGTTTGGTGTATGGGGAATATATGTTACCTTGCACTACTTCTATGGAGATTCCTTGAGAGCTCCGCGAGTACAACTAAGGCCACTGCTATGGAGGATCCTTCATGGAGGAGAGCTCCATAAACTATAGAGAAAAAGGAAAAAGGGATAGTTGAGACAAGTTGTCTTTGCGCTGGGTACTGATTATCTGCTTGCTCTAGAAGGTTGCTTCTAGTTTTGTTGCCTAGATTCGTCCGATTGCTCTCTCTCTCTATCTTCCTGAAAAGTAGCTTTGCTTAAAAACTACGCGAGTCAAATGTCGCCAAGAAATCTCTGGACATGTCACCACGTCATCCTATTTCAACATGGATGGTACCATCCAACTAGTACTTTGGATGGTATCCATGATATGGGATGGTCACCATCCAATTAGTCTTTTGGATGGTGTGTCCATAATATGTGGAATGGTACCATCCACCATAGGATTGAGATGATGTCCATGGTGTTTGGGATGATACCATCCACTAAGAGGTTGAATGATGCCCACTAATATGGGATGTGCCCATCCACTTAGAGGTTGGATGGTATCCATAATGTGGGATGGTACCATCTACTATCCTAGGACTAGACACATGGTGACCAAGTTCAAGAGAAAAATATTTTGGTGTAAACAGTAAAAAAATATTTTCAGGAGAAAAAATATGATGGCCACCCATTTGGGGGATCAAAGTGCGGATCAGCTGGAGAGGAAAGGTCGGGTAGGTTTTTCTCATCAAATTGGACATGGCGGGAGATGTAGAGGTTGTGAGTGGCAAGGTCATAACATTGGTAAGAATTTTGGGCGAGAGAGTAGCCAAGGAAAATACAAAGGAGAGAGTGGGGAGAGAGTTTGTGGTCGGAGTATGGGCAGAGCAACGTATGGTGGTGGGGAAAATTTTCCAATCTTGGCCTTATGTGTAATAAATATGTGATGCACATCATATTTGCGACAAAGAGGATATAGCCATGTATAACGTGTGAAGTGATGAATAATAACTAAATAGTAGGAAAAATTATTATAAGAAAGAATAAGGGACGACCCCCAAACATCCATGTATAATAAATAAAATGATCTCGTACTATATAAGGTAGAGACGGAAAATGGAAGTTTGTGACTTTTATGCAGTGAGGATGACTAGGAAAGTAAGTTGCGCTGGAGATGACCGAGCTGATTGTGCCAGATTGAAGAATAGGTATGGGTCGCAGTTAAGGGCAGACAAACAGTTAATTGACTGATACCCGATGTATTTCACCTTTTCTATGATATGGAGGAAAGAGAATGGGAACAAGTTATGGTCTTCATCCTATAGGGTGGCCACTAGAGATGGTTATTGAGTGAGTTTTCTTAAACCTTTCTCATTTTCAAATATTCAAACTTATACTCATACCCACCTCATATCCATGTGGGGAGGTTTTGCAATTCCATTCTCGTATCCGTCATTTTCAAGTACCCTGGGATAATATTTGTCCCTTATATTCATTATTACTGTACCTAGAATTCAACATGTAATTCTTAAATTATAGCACTAGGTGAACCTAATAAATTATGAAATCAATAAAGATACAATCATTCTCAATGCGAATTCAAAGCATTTAATTCTAAAATATCCATTACTTTGTATAGGCAAGGTAGTGTATGGGACATGAAGGTCAATCCTAGCAGTTCATGGGCATGGAGAAGAGTCTTGAAACTTCGACCATTGATCCAAACACATCTAACTCTGGATGGTGACACGCCTAGTTGGGATGGTAAACTGATGCCTAGCTATAAGGTGGCCACTGTTTGGGACTCTTTACGCACAGTGCATCCGAGAGTGGATTGGGGGAAGTTGGTTTGGGGGAAGAAGCATCTTCCAAATAACAGTGTGCTTGCATGGTTGATTTTGTTAGATGGTGTGATAACCAGGGATAAGCTGATGCGTTGGGGTAAAACTTCGGATGGTTCCTGTTTACTCTGCTGTGGGTCCTTGGAGAGCAGAAATCATTTGTTCTTTCAGTGTACTTACTCCTTGCAGGTACTCTCATGCTGGAGGGACGGTCACTTGCTTTGTGGTTCCAACTGGAATGAGTGTTTGCAAGCTGCTGTTGTTTTGAATAGAAGAGGGACTGCAGCAGGAAGAGTGGCTGGACTATTTTGGTGTGCCTGCGTGGCCTATATATGGCGAGAACGTTGTTGTCGCCAGCATCAGGTGGCTGCTAGGGATGCTACAACCCTAGGTAGATTGATTGTGTCTGATCTATTGTATTTAGGTAGTGTCGATAGTGATTTACAGACAGATTTACTTGCTGCTGGGTTCTTATAGTTTGAGATGGGGTGATTGAGTATAGATACAGGTTGGGGGGGGGGTATTCTTGTTTCTGCTTCTTACAGGGTTGTTTACTTTGAACAATCCTTTCGTTGTATCAGGATCTATGTGCTTCTTGCATATAGTTTGGTAATACAAAGCAACTGATTCAACGAAAAAAAAAAAATACAATATTGTCTAAATCATTCATTTTCGACTCCTATACATATACTAAGCAATAAATAACTCTTAACAAAGGAGAAAGAAGTAAAAGATTTAAATCTTGAGAGAAAGAAATTAATGACTAGGCCTCTCATATCTCTCTTCCCCTGTTTTCTTGATATCCTAATATTCTCCACCTATATATCTTCCTCTGACCTAGCCACCACTAGCCAGAAATCACTGTGGCGACCACCAAAAACCCTAACAAACGGCTGACCCAATCAAGTAGGCACGAATAGGTTTGCCAAGTGGCGGTGCTTGCAAATTTAGTTTGGGTGTTGATGAGGACCATTATCATACGAGTAGTAATAGACAAGTTGATTGCAGAATTTGCTACCTACCAATCCGTCATTTTCACCCAATGGACTCGTCATGTTGCACATCTTCTCTTATTCACATTTCGCAATCCAATTATTATTTTGGAGTGTGTTTTATGTGATTAAGGTATGATAGCTATTATATTATTCATTAATATCCATAGGTTGCCTCGTGGAAAGTGGTAGATCCAAGATTAAATGCTTGTGATACTTATTTTTGAATTGGGGTTGATGGTTATAGCCTTTCTAATATCTTTTGAAATTCAATATTTCAAAGCGAAATGATGTCATCTCTCACATTTGAGTCCTAAAGTGAAAAGCTTGTACTGGAAAAATATTTCACTTACAAGTTTATAAACATTACATAGAAAACTTATGTGACATTTTGTACGCATCCAAGTAAAATTTTCATTACAATGATATCTTCAATATTTCTTTAAACGATATCGTAAAAAAAAAAAAAATTCCTTAAGCGATGGAGTACTTAAGTTTGTAAATTTGTTGGTATTAGTTGAAAAAGGTGGTAAAAAAAAAAAAAACGGTAATGCATGTTTGCATATATGGTGTGTGGTAAGCGCGTAAGAGTGCAGCGAATGAGATGCTTAACCCACCCGCCGAGCCCCTGCGCGCTGAACGATGCTTTGCTTTGCTTGAGAACTTGGGCTTGAATCAGCCACCACACACACTTTCTCTTCTCAGTGGCCGGAGGCGGAAATTATGGTCTTTTTGGGCTTTCTGAGCGTTTCTTTTCCCTTGATTTTATTTATTTATTTATTTTCAAGACAATGAATTATTAATCAATTTTTTCTTTTCTTTTGTTAAACTTGGAACGTACGTAGTACGTACAGAATCAGCTAGCTAGCTAGGAAGCAAGCAGGCGCAGTGATCCATTGCTTGAGAGAAGGGCTGTTTCCCAAATGCCTTTGTGCCCGCCTTCAAATTAAAGGATGAGCTTCTGTCTTTATATTAAGGGGTGAAGTGAGGAAGGCGTTTTCTCTTCATTAATTTCTCCGATCCCGGCCGCAATAGAGAGGGAGAGAGCCGACAACAACAACAAGAATAATAATAAAAATGTCGGATTGGGCGCCGATATTGCTGGGAGTGCTTCTATTCATAGTGCTGTCGCCGGGGCTGGTGTTTCAGATGCCCGGGAACACGAAGCACTTCGAGTTTGGGAGCCTGAGAACCAACGGGAAGGCAGTGATAGTCCACACTCTCCTCTTCTTCGCCGTCTTCACCATCCTCATTCTAGCCCTTCATGTCCGTATCTACATGGACTAGCGACCGACCCATTTAGCTACTCTTCTTCATTTCTTTTGTTGCTTCGTTTGTTTCTGTATTTAACCCGAGTACGTGGTTGTTTTTTTATTATCTTTTTTGGGTTGCTTATGTTCAACTGTACTTTATTTTACATTATGGTGATGTTCTTGAGTTTCGCATCAATTCAATCTGATTGATCTCAAGAACTTCTTTTGTAATTCCTTTGTAATGCGATTACCCTGATTTATTATTAACACTTTGTATTTATCTTGAGCTTGAGTAAAATCAAAAGTGTAGTATACCTTGAAGTAAGAAATTGATATCAAAACTTTAAATTGATCGAATTTTGGGACATGGTACTGACTACTGAGTTATCTCATCTTTAATATAACATCGATTGAACTACAGTATAACATCTATAAATTAATATGATCGGGACCGTGAAAATAATTAATTTATAGTAGTTATTAATTAATCGATAAATTAATAATTATTAATTTAAAGAGGTTTTTCTTATGATGTACGTTCATCGTATCCCCCAAACATTTCAAGTTCATACGATAACTTATCGCATTCTACGTATTCATTGTACTAAAATTTAATAGAAGAAAATTATATATTCTTCTAAGATAAATGAATTCGATGTATTCTTGTAGATGGTCTAGATTCTTCTTTTAAATTACGCGCAGCCCTATTAATTCGGGTCTAAATGGACACATTTTACCCCTCATTTCTTGATAGTTTGACTTTGCATTTCATCGTCTCTCGACCTATTTTACGCTAAATTGTGCTTTTTTTGTCATATTTCAGGTCCTAGCACGTGTGGGAAGGTCAAGGACGAGTTTCGGGTCGATTTGAGGTCGAAAAGCGCGAAAAAGTGAAAAAACGTCCAAAGTCCCCGAGACCGTGAACCGACGTGCTTCCAGAGCATTTCTACAGATTACTGGCATCGAGTCAGTGCGATCGTGAACTGAAGCCCTAGACCGTGAACCAGCTAAGTGAAACGGTGCGAATTGGTTCGAGTTCACGGTCTACGCTTGATGTTCACGGCCGTGAACTGGGACCGTGAACTGGGCGCGACCTGTGTATAAAAGGAGAAGGGAGCTGAAGGAGAAGAGAGAGCTTTTGGTAGGTTTTTAATGTATAGAATAAAAGAGGGTTTCTAGTGAGAGATTAAGATTTCCTCTTCCCATTTTAGAGAGAGAGTGCCATTCAAAGGAGGAAGAAGGAGATTGAGCTCAATTCAAGCTAGAGGATGAAAGATTTCTTTTTCTCAAGGGAAAGAAACAAGGGAGGAAGATTGTCATCTATTCATGGTTCTTTCTCTCCTTTTTGTTGTTTTCCTTCGCCTAGCTATGGAGTAGCCTACCTACTCACTTGGTTATTGTGAATCCTAGTCTAGATGTGTGTTAGGATGTAAGAACTTGATTCAATTGTGTTGATTGTGTGTTCTGTATAATATTTGAGGCATTTTTCATAATGATTGAGTTTGTTAGCTTTAACTCATTATTGGGTCAATTTGACCTAGGTGGAGAGAATCACCTTATTGAAAGAGGCTTTGGGAAGCTTCATTCAGGGCCAATTTGTGTCACCCACCTAGACAATTGAGGACAAACTTTAAATTAACCATGATTAGTGAGTGTTGCTTGCATTATCTCTTTGTTGGGTCAAAATTAGCCTAGTGGGTGGAAATCCCCTTTTGGCCCATAAGGAGCTTGATCTCCTAGCCGCTTGGGTAACCCCTTTTGGATTGATCTAGGGCCAAAACCTCAAGTATCGGAGTAGTATGATGATTATAGCATGATGGGCCTATCCGTCGTGCGGGTTAAGATCCGAGGGCTTGGTTTGCAATCCTTAGTCGACCAGGTTGGAGGGGTTAGATCGTCTAGCCTATTGTTGCCATCCTTAGCCGAAATGTTAAGAGAGTTAGTCCACTAACTTAATGCAACAATCCTAAATTGGTCGACTAAGAGAGTTAGGGTTTCCTTGGTTAATCGGTTAAGAGAGCTAGGTTCCCTAGATTTGTATCACAATCCTTAATCGATCGGCTAGGAATGTTTATCTCTAGCTAGTTGCACCAGCCTCACGGTATAAGAACACATCCTTCACACTAGAGTTTCGTTCATTGCTTCTTAATATGAGACTAGGAGGAGCAATACCCAGGTGAAGCCCTCTCAAGTAGAATTCTCCTCGATTTACTTTCCTTTTTTGTTTATTTTGTAGTTTTCTTAGTTTTAAACCCAAAATCGTTTGCTAGATAACAACCTAAGCGATTGAAGTAGGGGTACATGGACCGGCCCGGGTTTGACAATTAAAACATACTTGCACTATACTGCACCCGGCTAGAGTTTAACAACTTGGGCTCTAGTCGGGATTTAAATCGCGGTGTATCTGTGGCGAGTCACCTATATTCATTGATTATAAATTCAATATAATGTATCGCGGCACAAACGTTAGAAGAAATTGTGGCTGATGATCATTGGGGGTTCAATTAAGGATGAAGGAGATGACGATTCAACACCGTTGGAACTAGGAATGGCAATGGGGCAGGTCCGGGGCGGGTTTCTTGGTACCCAGACCCGCCCCGTGACAGGTCGGGTAATTGATCACGGGTCGTGGGTCGGGGCAGTTCGACCCAATGGGTATGCAATTTATATGAAAAACATTAGAAATATTCGTTATTTTTATTATAAGACTAAGAAAAAAATAATATTATGACAATTGTAGTTAAATTATTGGAGAAATTGAAGTTTTTACTCATTTACAACTTTATTATAGCTAAAATATGATGCAATAAAAGGAAAATTCTAAGTAATTTGACTAAGATTACATGTAATTTAGACAAGAACGGGTCGAGAATGGGGCGGGTCAGGGCAGGTCGGGTCGATGAGACTACCCATGCCCGCCCCGTCCCGCCTACGGGGCGGGTCAGACCCGCCCCAAAACAGGTCAAACAGGTCGGGTAAAACGGGTCAGGTCGAAATTGCCATCCCTAGTTGGAACTGGTCATGCGAAAGGAAGCACTTAAAGCGGCACCGACTCTTCAAAAATACTTGATGCAATTAAAGAAGACAACACCGTAGACTTTGAGTGCAATGAGAAAAGTTCAAGATGCACTTCTATTAGACTTGAACTTCAAGAATAAACAAACAACTGTATATTCATATTTTTCTAGATTATCCTAGCTATATTATAAATTTCTAGATGAATTGTATTTTTTACAATTATTAATTTATAGAGTTAATAATTCATGTATTTATGTATGTTGGTTCTCAAAAATGATTATCCTATTATTTTATTAAATTTGATCATTTTTTACACTGTCCAAATCGGGATCGGAGAAATAATTAATTTATCTAGGTTATTAGTTTATCAATTATTAATTTAAAGAGGTTATACTGTATCTCAAGTGCATGTTATTTCACATTATATATCCTCGGCGGAGCTAGCTAGCATGGAGGAATGAGGTTCCATGGCACCTCATTGCCTTGTAATTTCAACAAGAAAAAATATATAATTGAAAATCGAACCCATTTAGAATAGAAATATACAAGAACTAAAAATATTTACTAGAGTTTGTACTGGAAAAGTCAGTGGCGAGGTATTTTCATGCTAAAACCGTGGTTCAACCATTTCATACCGCTAAACCCAGCTATCGATTTCACTTCCAGTAAGAGGTTTTTTTTAGTTGAACCGCCAGTACGTTATGCTTTTTCAATCCTTTAAAAGAACTACTTAATTGCACCCTCGAGTTAGTTGTTTAGGAGAAAAAATTAATATTTTTTATCAACTTTCAATAATACTAAAATTTTATAAAAAAATGTTCAAAAGACCAATTATAATTAGTCTAAAATTAACACCCACACAACTAAATTCTAATTTTCTCGTTGCCTACCTTTCCTCAATTCTCAATATTTTAAGTCGGATAACCGATAATATCATAAAATTAAGATATAATTGATTTGATACTTTAGTTCATAAGTATTTTTGCGTATATCTTAAATCAACACAATAACTAAATTGCACATAAGTAATAAGTAACTAAATTGATGGGTTGACTTGAATACCTAGTAATCCAACACGATAGTAACCTAATCTACCTATGACACGATTAACTTGAACCCGATAGGCCCGCAACTCGATTACCCCGCGACCCGATTGGTGATTCGGGGCTAATTACACATGTTTTACACCCTCATATATATCTTGATTGTTTGACTTGGGAATTTTCGTCGTTCCTCGACCTATTTTATGATAGGTTGTAATTCTTTTGTCACATTTCAGGTCCTAGTACGTGTGGGAAGGTCTGAGACGAGTTTCGGGATGATGAGAGGTCGAATAGCGCCAAAAAGTGAAGAACAGTAAAAAGTCACAACTAGGGGTAATTGTCACGGTCTCAAGGCCGTGACAATTGAGCCCAGGACGTGACATTTGACCAGAATCATAAGGGTCTTCAAGTCTCGCGGGCCAAAAGATTATCATGGTCCCGACCGAGAAAATCACCCCATGGCCGTGAAAATGGCCCAAAATGGTGCGTTTTGGGCTGAGATCACCCTTTGCTTGCTATTATCACGGCCGTGAATAGTGATCATGAAGTCAGCACTGTCGGGCAAATATAAAGACATCAGCTGGGAGAGAGAATGGGGAGCTGGTTTTTGGAGGAGAAATTGATTCACTCTCTGGGGTTTCGACTCAAAACACCAAAAGGGAGTTCTAGTGAGAGAGAAAGAGAGAGAGTTCTCGAGTGATCTTGGAGCTTAATTGAAGGTATTGATCAAGTTTGGAAACAAGTAATCAAGCCTAGAAGAAGAAGAAGATATTGTGCTCCAATCTGTAATCTCTATCTTCTCTCTAAAAACTAGCCCTCTTCTCTTAGGTTTAAGAACCCTAGGTCAAGGTTTTGGTTTAATGTTGATGTATGTGACAAATCCTATATTTGACTGAGTTTATTATCTATTTGATGGATAGTTTTTTTATGGATTTCATGAGTTTGGACTCCATTTCATGTATTGAGCTTTTGA